TCTATTGTACCAAACGTAAGGTTCAATGAGGACTTGTATTCTCATATTTGCCTGTCTGCATCCTGGTCTGGGTGTCTGCAGCTCTCTAGGACCTACCTTGGAATTGGTGAATGCTGTTGTTCAAAAGCCTTTATGAGATTTTCTGTCCAGTCCCCTGCTGCTCGGATATGAATGGAAAAGAAGTCTTCTTCCGGAGCAGAGGTCAGAGTAAAGGGATGCCACTCCAGGTAAGAGATTGAGGGGCAGTTAACAAAAATATACTGTCCCACTTCCATGCTGAAGCCACGCTTGATCATCTGCAATTCCAAAACTTTGGATGGGTGCATGACAACCTATGAATGAGGCACAGAGACCAAAGGAGGCAATTTCAAATGGTGACAGGAACGGTAGATAAAGTAAATGAATAAAGCTGGAGTGCTGGTGACAGTGGTGAACTGCTAGCACAAATGCTTTCTAAAGGGAATAGCAGTTACTTACTTCAGGCAATTGGTTACACTATGGAACTGACAGCGTTATTAGGTTGCCTGATTCTTCAAGAGAAGCCAGAAATGCAATTTTTAATGTAAAAGCCTCCATCCAGATTTTTAAGTGTTAGCAACTAATTCAACTTTCTAAACAATGAGTGTGTGGGCCAAACAAAACATGTCTGTGGGCTACATCTGGCACAGGCCGCCTGTTTGCAGCCTCTGACATAGACCCATGTTGATGATTTCTGCTAAACCCCTCTTCCCATAGTTCTGTCCAGCACTGGAGGAACTGAAGTATGTTACCTCCAAGATGTTTTTTTTTTATTCCCTACAGGGTAACAACATGGAAATTTATTTCTATAATCGGGAAGACCAGAACTCTTATCACAGCAACATGAAAGTGCATATGCTTTACCTTGGTAATCATAACCCGCTGCTGGGAGCGATAAAATCGGAGGATCCTTTCAAAGATATAAAGAACACCTGGTGCAAGGATCCACTTCCAAGACTGCAAAGAAACAGAGTACAGAATAAGGTTACACATTAATCTCTTCTTTAGGATTTATTTGTGTAGCAGTTTATTCCTTCTTTCAGTAAATATTTATTGAGTTCTCTGCTGTGTATCATTATTAAGCCACTAATTTCACCAAATCTTGAGAACAGAAATGGAAAGGAATAAACTACAATAGTTTCTTTTGCTAATCTGTTACTCATAAAACAGATCACTTCCTGAAATTTTACAGGTCTCACCAGGAAGCAAAAGAAAAGCACAGAAAGAAAGTATATGGTAAATACAGGGTGTCCCCCCAAAGCATATATATTTTTATACATATATAAAGTCAGTGTTTATTAACATACAGTTCATTTTCAACATTTAAA